TGGGATCACCGAAGGCGCCCTGGTTCTCAAACGTGATTTTCGCCCCGATGCCCGCGAAGGGAAGTTGGCACCAAAGTGGAAAGGCCCATATCGAGTCCGAGAGATGGTAGGACCCAGCACATTCAAGATAGAGCATACTGATGGCCGAACAGTGAAAAGGATGTGGAACGCGCAAAACCTGCGACTTTACTCTGCAGGCGCCGTATCTGGGGAAGACGCCTCGATCTGACAAGGACGCGAAAGGGGGTGACGCTCCAAAAAGTGTTAGTTTTATGCCAAAACAAGTATGTAAGTGTGTTTATGTGTGACTAAAGCGCCCGAAAAATAGCGCCGTATTGTGACTAAAGCGCCCGAAAAGTAGCATTGTATTGTGTCCAAAGCGCCCGTTCTCTAACCGCCCTAATAGTGATTTCGCGTTTGTTCTTATCGTTGCGTATGATCCAAAAGCGCCCCAATATTGCGCCCTCACACGAGACATTAATGCGCCCAACTTTGCGCCCAAAACCACAAAGCGGCCTCATTTCATCCGCCCCTATGAAAACAGTCTAAGGCATGAAAACGTTTGGCACGAAGCATATGTTTTTATATTATAATGAACGAAAGATGAGAAAAGGCAAATACAAATAAGTGCGACAGACAGAAAGGAAATTAAAAGCAGGACGCCCACTATCTACTCTGCGCCCGAGTTTGCATCTCCAGCACTAGGCGCCCTCTGAGAAGGTGGGGTAGGAACAGATGGCTCGGGCGCCCCGCTCGTTCCGCGAGGCGTCTCCAATCCTCCGATCACGTACTCAGCCATCTCCGTGAGATCCCAAGTAAGGTCGGGGTGGTCCTTCTGCAACTTCACCCTGAGAATCTCGATGCCGGTCAGAATAGCGTTGGCGCACATCCCTTTCCCAGCCTCCGACTCCTCGAAGTTATCCAAAGAGCGTCGCAAACCGGAAATTTCTTTCCGGGCCTCCTTCAAGGATTTCTCGGTCTCTTTATGGGCGTCTCGCAGCCTCTTCTTTTCCTCCTTGAGGATGTCTATCTCGCTGGCTTGGGCGTCAACTTCGTGCGCCAACACTTCCTTCTCCGCTTGGAGATCCGCCAGCTTCTTCTGTGCCTCCTCGAGGGCGCCCTGAAGGCGCGACACCTCCATGGCCGCATTCATCTGAGCCTCCTCACACTCCTTCGCAAACTGCTCGCGGCGTGCAGTCGCGTTCTCCAGATCTAACTTCATCTGGGAAGCAGAAGAGGAGGCCTCGAGCGCCTCTCTTTTTGACTCATTGAGCGTCGGGCGCCTCTCTCGGCAAAGAGCAGGATCTACAGGGTCCAAATAAGAAGGGTCAACAGATTATACAAGTAAGAAAACATTCCCACAATCACGGAAAAAGGCAAGTAGAAAAGTAAATACCTTGGGCCAATTCCGCGAAGAGGTGATCCCCGTTCACCTCGGACGGAACCTCCCACGACTTGGCGGCCGCAATAGCCAACTCCATCGCGCAGCCTCGGTCGACGGCCACTAAAGGAGAGCAGGGCAAGTTGATGCGCCCCACGTCGGCCCGATGTGGCCGGAAGATGGGAGGGCGCCCGTCAGGGCCAACAAAGCGCCCCTCTTCATTGAGGTGATATCGGGCGCCCTCACCCTCACCCCCTCCTCCTCTTCGGCAGCAGTAGCGGCGCCTACTGGCCCTTTCCCCCTGTCAGCCCTCTTGCGGGCAGAGGCTAAGGGGGAACCGGCTCGTTTTCCTCGACGAAGCAGAGGCTCTTCTTCCTCCTCCTCCGCAAAGTTAACTTCCTGTTCGACAGGATCCGCGGGCTCCGCATCAGGCGCCCCACCGTCTTCTTCCGGGGCGGAAGATGCCACACTGGCGGTATGTGCACGAGCGGTGCCGCCCTTCACCGCCCTCTTCTTCTTCTTCTTCTTGGGGCCAGTGACAGGCGCCTGTGATTGAGTTGCAGGCGCCTCTTGTTGAGCAGGCGTAGACGCCCCCGCCGCCATGGCAGCAAGCCGACTCTTCATCAGCTTGGCGATGCTCGAATAATCTGACCCTGCACATTGTGAAAACAGTTAGTTAAAACACAAGGAAAGCACAACACAAAGAACATATAACACCTAGGCGCCTACAGACCATCATTATAGTACGCCTGAATAATGGGAGGACGGTTCTCCGCAGGACGCAAGTCCACACGCTCCCCCGCACAGATCAAGCGGGCGCCATCTTTCTCGGGACAGTACCACGGGCGAGTTGAATTCCTCAACATGGCCCAACTCCCACTGCCTAAGAAAGGGGGCCCCACTCTCGAAAAACGAGTCCTGATACGCCTTCATAAAGAAGAAGCTGTTGAACCACTTACGGTTGAGCTTGGGACATCGTGACATGAAATGGGACGGGCGCTTCTTTCGCTTCTGAAGTGACAAACAGTTGTTGAGGGGCGCCATCTTGAAAAAATGCCTAAACAAGTTAAAGGTGGGCTCCACGTTGTTCTCCCGACACCTCAACTTGAACAGAATCACGATGGTAATGACAGAGGGGGAGAGGCGCCCCAACGAGCAACCACACGTCGTCAGAATCCCCTCCATAATGTGGTCGAGGGGGAAGCGCAGCCCGAATCGGAAGTACTCCTGGTACACTCCGATCCACTTGGGCCCGCAGACGCCCACTCGCGAGATAGAAGAAGGGGGCGCATACCACCAGTTGCGCGGCAGTTGCAGACTCGTGACGAGTTCGTGGACGCGCGCCAGAGTAACCGTCGACGCATGATTCGGCCTGGCCACCTCGAAAGGCAAATGGGCCGTCTCCGTCGGTAGATGATCCGGGGGAAAGCATTCTCCCATGTTGTGATCTTGTAGGATCCATCGGCTGGTAGAAATCCGGGCGCCGAGGAACTTGATGGTCCAGCAGAAGTCGAAGCAGACGCCCCCTCTAAACCAACAAACGATCCAGGCGCAAAGGGGACGCGGGGTAAGTGACGCCCTACCCTAGGTAACTAGAACTAACTCAACAAAATTAACGAGCGAAAGAGGATTCCTTACCGCCTTGGGCCGGACGCCTGGGATCACCACCTGCGCCTGATGCGCCTGCACCAGATGCGCCAGCGCCCGGGGCGCCTTGTCCAGAAGCCTTGTCTTGTTGTGAGGACGACATTTTGGACGGACGCAAAGAAGAAGTGTGACGAAAAAGCAGAGTCTGACAAGAGAGAAGGCAGAGCAGAATCTAGAGAGAGGTCAGAGCGAAATCTTAGAGAGAGGTCAAATGGAAGAAAGTGACAGAATAGAGGGGGGAGGGGTATTTAAAGGGAAGAAAGATCCCAGCCAAACCCCGCGCCACGCGCCACGTGTCAGCACCACGAGCGGACTCTTCAGCTTTCCCCACCCTTAAAAAAAAAACGTGCCAAATATCTCGGGTGGACTTTTGAGCTTCCCCCACCCCTTCCTTTTTTGAAGATCTCCAAAATCCCAATTACGAATTTTCTTTTAATTCGAAATTGCCATTCCCCCCAGCAAGCAAGGCGTGGGGACCACGTCAAAAGTCCCCCCGAGAGGGGGGCATAAGGGTAGGGACATTCATCGCAATGAACCCCATGAGGAGGCGCCCAGGGAACACAAAGAACAAGGGCGCAAAACAGGGAGCATCGCCAAAGGCTGGGCGTCCAAAAGCGAGCGGTGGTCAGCAAGGGCGCCCACAAACCACCAAAAACACGAGATTACAAGGGGGCACCAGTATAGGAGGCGCCCAGGGATCACAAAGAAGAGGCACCCAAAACAAGGAGTGTCACCAAAGGCTGAGCGTCCACAAACGAGCAGGGGTCAGCAAGGACGCCCACAAACCACAAGAAGCATAAGAATACAAGGAGGCACCAGTAGAGAGTAGGCATCTGTGGAGGAAGAGGATTCAAGGCCGCGACAAGAGAAGCAGCCAGACGCTCAAAGGATAAACCATGAGCACCTGACTGGGGGGGCAATTGTTGGGGGTACTACCCAATGGTCCATAGCCTGGGCCCTCACAAAGTAGGATTGGGGGGCAAGGCCCAAAAATTGGTTCCAACAAGGACCCATAGGCCCAAGCAAGAGGAAGGGTCCAAAAGGACAAAACACTAAAAGCCAAGAGAAGACCAGCTGTCAGGTGGTCCACTGTCTTCGGGCGCCTGTCGCGTGTCAGGAGCCTGACAAGGCGATTGGATGTCTCACAAAAAGGACACAGAGCATTAAATGAGGGCAGTGAAATGGAGGAGATCAACCTCGAGTTCGGTGAGTATAAATAGGGGCAGTTGGTAGCATTTACAGAGGTCGGGCTCTCTCACCAAAATTACTACTTCAGAGCACTTCTCTCTCTAAGAAAACTAACTTGGGCGTCGGAGGATTAACGGGCCTGGGCGCCCTCCTCTTTGTGTGTGCAGGCAGGCGTCAGGCGAAGGGTGAATCCTGCTGCGTCGGCGGGTATTGTGGCTCAAACAAGTTTGTAAATGAAAATCAAAAGTGAACACCATAATATTGAGGGTTTATTAAAATAGTATAGTTGATAAGATTAAAGAAATGACTAATCCTTATCTTTTCAAGTATTGTGTTCTAATTCTTAAACATCTTCCTCAAATATTTAATGAAAATTTCCATGCTTTTTTTTTTACAATATTTTGTACTTCTTATAGCATTTTAGATATATAAAACTCACATTTTATAGCGTCATTCCGAAAGGGAAAATAAAATAAAATTGTTGAGCAAGCACACAGGTGTGTCCATCATCATCTACGCGGTATTTTTTTGGGTATTATAATTGATTACTGTCGTCGGCTCGCCGGGAATATTTGTGGTTGTGGATATCAGAAGACGGTGGCTGATGGACCGTTGGCATTGCCAATTTGCCATCTATGATCGTCATGATTGACAATAACTTCTTCTTATTGTTTTTCTTTCTTTATTATTTTTGTTTGGGTTGGCTTGGATCAAATAACAATTGTTGATTCTTCTGTCGGCCTGTTTGGTTTTTGCCAATTTTAGTCTCCAATTCAATTTTTCTCCCCATCTTCTTCCTCGTCGTCGTCTTTCTCCTTCCTCCGCTCACATAGAATTCAACCCTACAACAGAAAAATTCCAGCCCCTCTACTTTCTTCCGTGATTACCATCGCCATCACCGCCGTTGCCCGCCGCCGATTGTAGCCCTCGGATTCGTGAAATCGGGTCATTTTAGGGAATCGCAATCTAATCAACCCCAAACAACCCGCCTACCTGTCCTCCCTTGTCACGGATTCAATTCACTGCCGTGTCTCCCTGTTTCTCTTACCCACCAATAAAGATCTCGATTGGGACCTCCTCCTTCTTTTCTCTTCTGTGTTATCTCCCGGTAAAGTTTCTCTCTTTCTCCCTCCCTTGTTTCCTCTTCCTTACTATGAACTTGTACCATTATTACTCTTCCAATTCCGGATGAATCCCTTCTCACTTCTCTCTGCCCACCGGTTCACTTAACTGTTTTTGGTTGATGTACTTGAACCATTCACGTTTCCAGCTGTGGTTTTGTTAGCTTTAGTTCATGATCAAATTCAGAAATTAAGCATCTTCTTAGGACTTAGATGGTTCCTGGGTGCCCATCTCGAGGTTTTTGACTTGTATTTACTTATATTTTCTTCAATTCATTCAGCTGTAACAGTGTTGAGTTAAGCGGAATTAGAAGGAGGAGGAGGAGGAGGGGTTTCTGAAGGTGTATAAGTGGGTGGCAGCTGCAACCAGACCTTATGCGTGGCTTTGGTTTCTGGGTTGCTGATTGATTGTTAGTTCTTTGGTTCAAGTTGGTGAAAACTTGTTGCAGTGGATGTCTTGTTAACAGATGAGTATAGCATGATGAATGTGGGAGTGAGAATTTGTAGATGGATTCCCCTGATAAGTCATTTGCTGACATAGTTGGGCTGTTCAAATCCTTTGTCCCTTGGCGGACTGAGCCGCCAACCGTGTCAAGGGACTTTTGGATGCCCGATCAGAGCTGCAGGGTTTGCTATGAGTGTGATTCTCAGTTCACATTAATCAACCGCAGACACCATTGCAGGCTTTGTGGCCGAGTTTTCTGTGCCAAGTGTACTTCTAACTCAATCCCCTTGCCATCATCCCGTGGTTCAAGAACTACTATTACAAGAGAAGAGTGGGAGAAGATACGAGTGTGCAATTATTGTTTCAAGCAATGGCAACAAAATCCCACTCTTGATTATGGATCACATGTTCCAAGCCAGGCACCCAGCAGTTCAATGTCGGCTGCCAGTTTGTCTAGATCAAACTCAAGTGGTACAGCTAACAGTAGTAGTTATACTCCTGGTTCCGTGCCATATTCTATTGGACCTTTTCAACAAGGTCAAGGAAGCATGGATGCTGATCCATGTCAGGCATCTCAAACGGTGACCAAGTTCGATGATAAGCAAGTGGAGGAAGAAATATTAGGAAAGAGTGATGACCATGTTACAGAAGAAGCGTATGAACATTCAAATGGATACTTTTACATGAACAGGTAAGTTCATCATCATTTTCTCTTAATTGCTTATTTTATGTTCATCTTCAATGCCTTTTTATCTATCATCGATAGATGGAGCAAAACTATGGAAGTTGAAATTGATAATTATTTTAATAGAGAATGTACTGGATTCTTATGCTTAGTGTTCCTTCTGCATTAGGAGTGACGATGATGACGATGAGTACAGTATTTATCGATCTGATTCTGAATCTCAGAACTTTCCTCAAGCCAATGGCTACTACCATCAGGCTCAGTTTGATGATCCGAGCAATGATGATGAATTGCAGAAAGCTCATCTTGATGGAGAAACTATTGAATCAAAAAGTTTAAGTACCTCTCCTTTAAATAATAGTTTTTTGTCCCATGATCTAGAAGGAATTCACAGGCTTGGGGAAAGGGATGAGCATTATATTGATTATGATGGTGAAGCTTCTTCTACAATGTATCCTGGGGAAGATGATAGTGCAGAACCTGTGGATTTTGAGAACAATGGACTACTTTGGCTGCCTCCTGAGCCAGAAGATGAAGAGGATGAGAGAGAAGCTGAGTTTTTTGATGATGATGATGATGATGTTGACGTGGCAGGAGAATGGGGAAGGTTACGTCCCTCGGCCAGTTTTGGAAGTGGAGAGTTCAGCAATAGAGATAGGTCAAGTGAGGATCAGAAGATGGCCATGAAGAATGTTGTTGATGGCCACTTTAGAGCTTTAATTGCTCAGCTATTACAAGTGGAAAATGTTCCGCTGGGCGATGAAGGTGACAAAGAGAGTTGGTTAGAGATCATTACCTCATTATCATGGGAGGCTGCTACCCTTCTAAAGCCAGATACAAGCACAGGTGGAGGAATGGACCCTGGTGGATATGTGAAAGTGAAGTGCCTCGCTTCTGGTCGACGCAGTGAGAGGTGATTACTACTTGTATTAAAAGTGTGTTGTCCATACGTATGCTTTTATGCATGTGCCATTTAGTATATAAACTCTTCGCTTTGGTTGGGATATCAATTACTAAAAACCAGTTGTACAATTGGTTGGAATATCATTTTTGTTTCACTTGTTGGAGCTTTCCTGCTAAAACTAGTGTTTGCTTGAATAAGGTGCATTGTTCTGAGAATCTAGAACAACTGTTGTTAGGCACAGTGTGATGATGGGAGAAATAATTATTAGATCTCTTCACTTATAGATGAAAGTTCCACCTCATTGGCTTCTTCACTGAAGATGGAAAGGAAAACTAATAATATGGCAGCCATTTTGTCCCGCTTCCAACTGAATTTATTTATATCAACTACTCAGAAAATCTATCCAGAATTTTTCGTACTGCAAGCATTTCTTTGGAGGAATTTCAATCAAGTCTTATCTGTTGAAATTTTCTGCTTTCTGCGATAGAAGGAATTCCATAAACGATACCTGCCTATATAGTGGAAATCTTGGGCTTATTTATTATGTTATGATGAGAGTATGGACTTATTAAGTGTTTCCTGAGCTGTTAACAATCATGTTATGCTTATATTTCCTTAATTTGTCGTATTGTTTTTCTTCTAGCGTGATGGTCAAGGGGGTCGTTTGTAAGAAAAATGTTGCTCATCGGCGAATGACTTCGAAAATTGAGAAACCTCGACTATTGATCCTTGGAGGGGCCCTTGAGTACCAGCGGGTTTCTAACCACTTGTCAAGTTTTGATACTCTATTGCAGCAGGTTGCTATCTGTGACACTTATCCCCTACATCCTTCAACTTTCTTTGTGTTCTAGCTGTCATAAACGAATTCTATCTGTAGGTTCGAATCTCTACCCTTTTAGTTGTCTTTCTCATGATTTTAGTATCTTCATTCAGGAAATGGATCATCTGAAGATGGCAGTGGCAAAGATAGATGCACATAATCCTGATGTTCTTCTGGTAGAGAAATCAGTTTCACGATTTGCACAGGAGTACCTTCTTGCTAAAGATATATCCCTTGTACTTAACATTAAGAGGCCACTTTTAGAGCGCATAGCGCGGTGCGCAGGTGCACAAATAGTTCCTTCAATCGATCATCTCTCATCTCCGAAGTTGGGATACTGTGAGATCTTTCATGTGCAAAGATTTTTGGAAGAACTAGGTACAGCTGGGCAAAGTGGCAAAAAGTTGGTGAAGACACTGATGTACTTTGAAGGCTGCCCAAAGCCATTGGGTTTTACAGTGAGTTCTTAATTCTTCTGATTATTGATACAACGAATTAAAAAGTAGTAACTTCTGTGGTATTGGCGAATAAATGTGGTAATTTGAATACTTGCTTTTGCAAATGGTAGTCTGCTGTGAATCTGATGAAGAGCTTTCCTAATACTTATCTCCACCACTCTATTCCATTTCAGATTTTACTTAGAGGTGCCAATGGAGATGAGTTGAAGAAAGTGAAACATGTGGTCCAGTATGGAGTTTTTGCGGCATATCACTTAGCTTTGGAGACTTCTTTTCTTGCTGATGAAGGAGCTTCTCCAGAACTTCCATTTAATTCTTCAATAACTGTTGCACTTCCAGATAAACTATCAAGTATTGAGAGATCTATCTCAACTGTGCCAGGTTTCAGTGTTCCTGTCAGTGATAAATCTCAGGGACCTCAGCATACCAGTGAATCACAAAGATCAATTATTGTCCCTAGTGAGAGTCTATCAGCTATAGTGGGTGGTCGTGGTTCTGTTGAGAGTGGTGAAATGAAAACCCTAACTGATAGCGCTGTTCCTCTATCTGTTGAACCTACTTTGCCTAGCTTCGGTGCTGCAGCATTTCTACCCTCACTGCAATCTACAATCAAAGTCGTTGCTGATTCATACTGTACATTTGATGAGAAAAACAGACTTGGTTTGGAAGGTGCTCCAGTGACTGAGATTTCCATGGTTAGTGATGGCCTGTTTTCTCTGAATGAGCATTTTGCTGGTAATACGTCTGTACCTGTGGATGGGATCACAGTGGGTGGCGAATCTAATCTTGGCAAGGCAATTGTTCCTCCACCAGTAAGCTCAGAGGTTTCATCAGGCCTAAAAGACGGTAACAGCAATGTGGAGGATCGAGGACCTTTAAAAGAGGACTTTCCTCCATCACCTTCAGACCATCAAAGCATTCTGGTTTCCTTGTCTTCCCGCTGTGTATGGAAAGGAACTGTTTGTGAGCGGTCCCATCTATTTCGGATCAAATACTATGGTAGCTTTGACAAACCTTTAGGTCGGTTTTTGCGAGACCATTTATTTGATCAGGTAACTTACCGTGAACAATGCATTATATTCTTAAGTAAATTCTTGATTTTATTATTATTGTTATTTTGCTGAAAGAATTAATTTTTCTGAAGCTGTCCCGGGTAAGATGATAAATTTCTTCTGTTGCAGAGTTATACATGCCGTATCTGTGAGATGCCATCAGAAGCACATGTTCATTGTTATACTCATCGCCAGGGCACCCTTACAATATCTGTCAAGAAGCTACCTGAATTCCTCTTACCAGGTGAAAGGGATGGGAAAATCTGGATGTGGCATAGATGCCTAAAGTGTCCAAGGACTAATGGTTTTCCTCCAGCCACTCGAAGAGTCATAATGTCTGATGCTGCTTGGGGACTGTCTTTTGGTAAATTTTTGGAGCTTAGTTTCTCAAATCATGCAGCTGCAAGTAGAGTGGCAAGTTGTGGTCATTCACTTCACAGGGATTGTCTTCGTTTCTACGGGTATTTTCTTTTATCGCCTTGATTGACCTAGGAGTAAGTTTCTTGCTGTCTCTTTCTCTTTCTGACTTCCAATGATGTACAGGTTTGGGAAAATGGTTGCTTGTTTTCGCTATGCTTCAATTAATGTCCTCTCAGTGTACCTTCCACCTTCAAAACTTGATTTCAGCCTTGGACACCAGGAGTGGATACAGAAAGAGGCAGCAGAGGTACAGAGACTACTACAATCTGGATGTTGAGTTATTTAATCATCCAAATTCTATTGGCCGTTAGAGATTTAATCATCCAAAATATCAGGTTGTGGACAGGGCTGAGCTTCTGTTTTCTGAGATACTCACTGCCCTTCGTCGAATCGCTGAGAAACGACATGCTGCAGCACTGCATAATGGTAGCACAAAGCCTACCGAATCAAGACGGCAAATAGCTGAACTTGAAGCCCTGTTACAAAAGGAGAAGGCAGAATTTCAGGTGAGGCTTAGTGCAAAAACCAGATTTAGAAGCTATGCATGACAGACAACTACATTCATAAGAATTTTTCTGCAGTATGTTTCTGATTCTGCAAACCATTTTTTCTCCTGACTGAAAAAATACATCTTTCATTGTGATTGTTCTCCCTATAGGATTCACTACAAAAAGTTGTGCACAAAGAAGCCAAAAAGGGTCAGCCTGCAATTGATATCCTTGAGATAAATCGCTTGAGGAGGCAATTACTTTTCCAGTCATACATGTGGGATCACCGACTGATCTATGCTTCCAATTTGAATGATAACAGCTGCGAAGATGTGCTCAATGTTTCTCCTTCAGGAAAAGGGGGGAAATCTCCCGGTAGCACTGGTATGAACTCAGTGGACCTCTCTTCTCTACGAACAAACATATCTGACCATCATCAACAGGGTCCCTTAGATAGTGTGTCCAATCAGTCTAGCCCAGTTGACAAAGTAAAAGAAGATCCTGATGTTGAATCTAATACTGATAAAGAGGACAGTGCTAAACTTGCTAGTACCGTGTCAATGTGTGATCAATATGAAGGCCTTGAATCTGGTGGAGTTGTTAGAAGAACCCTTTCTGAGGGTCAGGTCCCCATTTTGGCCAATTTATCTGAGACTCTTGATGCTGCTTGGACAGGGGAGAATCACTTGGGGGTAGGCATACTAAAAGATAATGGCCTTGAGTCACTCTTGAGCGATTCCTCTACTCCAGTTTCAGGCGCATTGGATGTTGACAATCATGTGGACAACAATGGGACCAAGGGGCCTGATGATGCAGAAGAATCTGTTAGCTGGTTAAGAATGCCCTTCTTGAACTTCTATCGATCTCTCAACAAAAATTTCCTTGCCAGCTCTGAGAAGCTTGACACCCTGAATGAGTACAATCCGGTGTATGTTTCATCCTTCAGGCAGCTGGAATTAAAAGGTGGGGCCCGGCTTCTTCTCCCTGTGGGCGTTAATGACACTGTCATCCCTGTCTATGATGATGAACCCACAAGTATCATATCTTATGCCCTTGTGTCACCTGAATATCATGGACAAGTAACCGATGAACTCGAACGGATGAACTACAGTGGTGATTATGGTTCATCATCATTAAATTTCTCTGACTCCATGGCTTCTCAGTCGTTCCACTTTGCGGAGGATATGAGCTTTGATTCTCACAAAAGTCTTGGGTCTATTGAGGATACCACCACCTTATCCACGTCTGCATCTCGAAGCTCTTTGATTCTGGACCCACTTTCATACTCAAAGGCATTGCATGCTAGAGTTTCTTTCGGAGATGATGGTCCAATTGGGAAGGCCAAATATTCCGTCACTTGTTACTTTGCACAGCGGTTTGCAGCACTAAGGAGGATGTGTTGCCCGAATGAACTCGATTTTGTGAGGTCTCTCAGCCGGTGTAAGAAGTGGGGTGCTCAAGGTGGTAAAAGCAACGTCTTCTTTGCGAAGACTTTGGATGACAGGTTCATCATCAAACAAGTAACAAAGACAGAACTGGAGTCGTTCATAAAATTCGCGCCTGAATACTTCAAGTACCTGTCTGAATCAATTAGCTCGCGCAGTCCAACTTGCTTGGCAAAGATACTTGGAATATATCAGGTAGCTGTTTTGAACAACTTTGCTTGCTGATAATAGCCTGTCTAATGTCTGTCTTTTCTCTCTAAGCCATGCATGAGACTTATTGAGTGTATTTTTTATTATAACCTGCTAAGGTTGCATCGAAGCATCTGAAAAGCGGGAAGGAATCCAAAATGGATGTTCTGGTAATGGAGAATCTTCTGTTCAGAAGAAACGTGACACGCCTTTATGATCTGAAGGGCTCTTCAAGATCAAGGTACAACCCAGATTCCACCGGGAATAACAAAGTTCTGCTTGATCAGAACTTGATTGAAGCCATGCCAACTTCTCCCATCTTTGTGGGCAACAAGGCGAAGCGGTTGCTTGAAAGAGCAGTGTGGAACGATACTTCTTTTCTTGCAGTAAGTTGTTTTGGTCAATCAATGCAATCTTCTGGTGTTGACTTTAAGTAATTTGCTGACTGATATATGATTCAGCATTTTGTTTTCATTAACATTTGAGAATGTTAAATCGTGCCTTTGCAGTCAATCGATGTGATGGATTACTCGTTGTTGGTTGGGCTGGATGAAGAGAAGCACGAGCTAGTTCTTGGGATCATTGACTTCATGAGGCAGTATACATGGGATAAACACCTGGAGACTTGGGTGAAGGCATCAGGAATACTAGGTGGTCCAAAGAACTCAACTCCTACTGTTATATCCCCAAAGCAATACAAGAAGAGGTTCAGGAAAGCAATGACTACCTATTTCTTGATGGTCCCAGATCAATGGTCTCCTCCCTCAGTTCTCCCAACTAAATCTCTATCCGATGTGGGTGAAGAGAACACTCAAGGGGCTACATCAGTGGAGTAAAATGTTGGAGCAGCAAGCTAAATATAAGGCAGTGTACTCTCTTTTCCTTCCATTGTACATTTTTTTTCCTATTACTGTGGGCTGTTCAATCATTTGGTCTTTCATCTTTTTTACTTCCTTTTTGTTGGGGAGGAAATTCCATTTTTTTGCCGTGGAAATGGGAAAGTGTTACAGCTGTAGTTTTGGGTTGAAAGTGGAAGGTCACGAAAGAGTGTTTATTAGGGTGGGAGAGTAGTGGAAGGGTAATAATATGGCTAGAGGAATGTCAAAGAGGTATAATATTGGGTTACCTCTCTCCATGCATGGGACATCATCATCTTCGTGTCTGTACAAAAATATTTTTTTCTTGTGTTTATAGCATCAATGAAAGCAGCGAATATTGATCATGTAAATCTTGTCCAATTGAATCTCATTTCTATTTGTTGATGTACATTTGGAATATAAATGCGCTTTTTCCTCGTTCAACTTCATGTATCATGCTCGAGGTCCTTTTCGTGTATTACAAGAGCAGAGGAAAGGGTTCCATGGTTCTAGTTGTGTGCTTGTCTCCCAGATGCATTGCATGGTAAATGAAAAAACGTTCATATCATATTATTGGTTTTTATCTACAAGCATTTCTGCAGTAATCCAGTGGACCATTTGTCTTTAGATTGAACAAACTGAAGGTGAAAAGAGTGACTACATAACATCTGTGTCATCACTTTTATATACAAGTGTATGCAGAAAGCTGGTATAATGGCTTGGTGCATAGATAGATGCTGGTGGTGATAGGAGTTGTTAGAATTAGTTTATAAGCTGCTGGACTTTGAAAGGTCTTCTTGCGCGGTAACAGTAGCTCCAGCACTCTGATATTGATCACCATGAGAGCCATTAACAATCTGCAGAAGCCGCTGCTGAAGGAGGTTGATGATGATCTGTGCATCCCTGATCGTGAAAGTTACATGTTACAGTATAAGCATTTGGCTGGACGACCATATCCTGCTGATATAATGATGATTTTAACAATGAATTAACCATGAGTGAGATTGATCATCACACCTTGATGACGAATGATGTTGATATGCAGCAGGAGTCTGTCGCCGGTGCAGGTCGTTGAAACGAGGGCCTTCATCGTATGCTTCGCAAATTACTTCCCCAGTCCTCTCATCTGTATAACAAACGATACCCTCAACTGGGTTCTCGAATATCTATCCCCCCAGAGAATTGAGAATATAATGAACCAGCAGGACTAAGTCATATACAATGATCATACATGATGAGAGAAGAAGGACGAATTAGAGACTTTTGATACATGTGATGTATAGAAGTTACCTACCTTGTTTGTGAAGGAGGAACAAGAGGAAGATTTGATCATGATCCCCACAGGTTTATGAGCCTTCTTATTGCTGCTGCTGAATGGAAGCTGGTCTGGAATTGAAGAAGATGCAGCAGTTTGCATTACTGGGAAGTGTGGTGGCGAGGAAGGCCATCTTGTGAACCTTAATGCAACCATTTGATCAAACACCTTACACTAGCAATGGTGAGCCTCCTATTTACAGAGAGAGGGAGAGAGAGGGATGAAGAAAACTGTAGGCGTTTACTTTAGTGACCAATGAACCTCCTAGTCCTAGTCCTATATACAGATGGAGAGGTATATTTGGGGTTGCAGCTGATAGAATAATTAATGGTTGCTGTGAGTATGTTGCTAGGGAGGTTGTCTCTGTCAATGATGCACTATCTTATAGTTATAAGAGATAATCAGGTGAAAGGCAGTGGGGCCATGTTCCCTGTTTCTGCTTATCTTCTACCTCGACTCCAATAATTCAAGCCATTGAAAGGTCGGGTGGAGGAGGAGAGGGTTATTATTATATTGTGGACTGCTGTGCTTATTGGTTGTTCTTGCGTCAGTTCATCATCTAATGTGTCATTTTAGTAAACCATGAATAGACAAGCACTATTTTAGGTAATCAGTGAGAATTTGTTATTGACTACAGCACATCTTATCTCAGTATGAAGATCAAAATGGTAATGTTTTTAGAAACTTGAATCATGCAAGCATCCAGTTGGCCCATGATTGAATTGTTAATTCTTCTTGTCAAAGTTAGAAAGGGAGCAACACTAATCCTACCATTAGTTTCTTATATGAATAGATTAAGCTCTGCTGGCAAGTATGATTCCCAGCCTCTAGTTTCTTTGTCTTACCTGTTTGTAATACAGCTAAAAAAGTCAACATCTGCTGTCTGGAAATGTTTGGTTTGCATTTTAGAATATGTCATATGCTGCCTGCCTCCCCCTCAATAAATCATCCATCCACAATTGTATGTATGTGTCATAAAATTTGCCTTAGTTGGGTGGGCACAAGCACTGATGGTGAAACTGGTTTGTACAAGGGAGTTAGATATGGTTGCAACTTAAGAAGAATAAGTGAAAGAAGTTTCACTTGTGGTTTCAAGCTTTGAATCCATAATTTATTAATTAACTCAAAAGATTTTTGACCAACTTATCTGATGGACCATGTAATTTGACGAGTCATTAGGAAATAGTAAACTTGAGATCTTTTCTCTTCCTGTCAAGTTGAGATTTAGGGTCGTTTGCATGGAAGACTATTTTTTACCAATTAGGGTATAATAAAAAAAAAAGATTTTTCAGACCATCAAATGAATCACTCTAATCTTAGCACGACCAATGAACTGTATTTTGGAACGATGAAAACTTTGTCACAACACCTGAATTTCCTCCATGATTGCTCCACCACATGCATCATAACATGAACCCTCTGTCACCTTATCCAATACCAACTTCGCATCCCCGACGAACACAACCTCTTGTATCCTTGCCGAAAGATATGTTCGGGGTTGACCGTTTGACTTCAAGAGCAAGTTTATCAATGTTCGTCTAATCAAATCGAGATCTCTTGGTTGACTCGAATTTGCGTTGGAAATTAGAGATAAGAAATGCTTATGGAAAATGTAGTGAGGAACGATTTGGTTGACTTAGTTTACTTGACTAAATAGCTAAAACTTACAAATTCGAACGTGTTTGACTAAGTTTGATCATATTCTATTTAAAGTGAAATTATACACGAGAACCATGTAGGATTGACCAGTTACGAGTTGGGCTATAACTTCAAGGTCGATCGGTCAATGATTATTACAGTTGTTATAATCCATTATTATTTGAGCATCATTAAAATTTTGACAAATCTATTTTGTAATAATTTAATTACTCACTTTTTTACTTTATTTACACCCACTTACTTTTTCATCCAAACAACAATTTAGCTCTCCACTTGCACAGTTGCACCTCTCACCAATTTGCACTGCACCCTCCTACAATTTACCCTTCAACTTGTACCCCCTCCAATTTGCACTCCTTGTAGCCAAACATAGTGTCATGGTCGAAGCAACGGTGATTGTGGCTTGCTGAGTGGTGAGGAAGACGAAAGAGAGAGCGTAGGGTTCCTGGCCGGAGCAATTGTCTTTTGTTTTTGTTTTTTTAATAATCAATTAATAAATAAGTCACCATAGTTGATCGGTTGATGTGACATTTTTTGTTGACTGCCACGTGAGAATATTTTTTCCACCTCAGCATAACATCTGCCATCTCATTATTATCTAACAGAAGTGTTAATGGAGGCTTAACGATTAGCTATTATTTTGTATTTCGAAACGTTTGAGCTCCGTTTGGCTAATATTTTGACAAAATTGAAAGATTTTGCTAATAATTTGTATTATCCTGATATGAAAGCCTAAATTCATTTGGTGTTGATGATTTCTCACTTTTTTTTGACAAAAGATAATTAGCTATATTGATTGAGACAAAATGTATTACATCCTGGAACCCAGTCAGACCTGGAAATCAAACAATCGACAAGTAGCCGGAAACAAAGTAAGGATCTTTCTAGCCACCAAATAGGTTACCTATTGTTACACCGAGCTATATATTAGTTAAAACCGAAATGAACTGGTATAAATCATTGTATCTAGTCGGATCATTACATTTGCTAAACGTACGTAACATTATAAACCAATTTGATCAACGTGGTTGTGTAAAGAATATGAGGCAGCTGCTAAGTGGTAACCAGAAGAGCCAAATGTTAAACTATTGTTACAGTAATTCAAGGTTGTCAAACCGGTTTATGCCAGTGTGCCGGTTTAGCAAGTAGAATGGTTCGACCGGTGGCACATACCGGTTTGTGCCGGTTCATGCCGGTCAATATTACAAATAAAATTATAAATACTCATATTTAAACATGACATTTAACGTCAATACCTTAACATTTATACTTGAATCCAACAAATAACATCAATATTATACTTTTATACCCATAAAATAAATAATAAAATAATTTTTATCAATTAAATTCGCTAAAATAAGGTCATTTTACTTAGAGATTCGTATATCAATCATGCCGGTCATACCGGTGATGTCACGCCGGTTTTATGACCGGTATCAGTTGAACCTGGTACAACCGGTGGCACGCCCGGCCGGCATGACAACCATGCAGTAATTTGAATAGGGTTCCCAAATGCAGAAGAAAGAAAGAGAGAAAGCGGCCTTCACTTCACTGTCACTGAATACTCTGTTTTTGATGCAGCAACGCCTGACTAACTTTTTCGCCTTCCTTTCCTTTTCCCTTCCTTCACCAAGATTCATGCCACTCACTGTTAAAGACCGGACCAGACCAGCAGAAGACCTACAGTCAGTCTCCCGCTCTTGGAACCACTCTTCAATTCTTCTCCTTCTCCATCTCTCCCACTACATTTGCTTGAGCCCCTGTTCCGCCTATCTTTCTGCATTCCTCTATTTCTACGCTCTTCAGTCCCAGCTCCAGCTGCAGCAGCGTTGAAAGAATAAGAAATGGAAGAGGGGTATAATAAGCAAGCAGGAAGCAAGCACATTGTGAAACCCTTGTTTCCATTTGAAGAACCAGACCCACTGTGCAGTCTCAATCTCAAAGAGACCTCCGATTTTGTAAAGTCGTTTCCTTTCTCGGCCGGAAGGAAATCCTCCGCCGCCGGCGTTGAACCCCCACGGAGGAGCTTCCCTTCCAAATGGGACGACGCCCAGAAATGGCTCGTCGCTTCTCCTGCTCATCCCCTTCACCGCCCTCTTCCTCCTCCTTCCCCCAAAAATTTGTGTTGCGACGATAAAATCATCGCCTGCTGCTCTCCGTCTAATCAGAACCTGCCCCATTTGCCCAATGCTTTTGCTGGCCTCTCTGTTTCTCCCAATTCGCTTCTCAAAGGTACAAACACTACACCACCAACTATCTGTATATTCTCTTTTTAACTAACTTTATTCACCACAAAAACTGCCCACCCATTTTAGCCTTTTTACTCCCTTCTCTAATGTATTGCTTTCCTTGTCTCCTCTTCCAAAAGGCTATGCAGCTGGTGCAAAATCGTGTTTTTCTCCCTTTCCCAACTTTCAACGACTGCATTTTGACTAACTGCAGCAACAGCACCCAAAGGTGTTTTTTTTAAAGACAATAGTGAGCTTTAGTCTCTGGAATAATGTTGCATTCAAGCTATTAGTAGCTTAAACAAACTCTATGGATGTGTGCATTGCTAGACAATCACATAAAGGTTTAGTCTTTACATAATTTTTGGAGTGTTTGATGTGACCAGAGAACCTAGAATTGGAGCTGTCCTATTTGGCCAATTTGGGAACAACTAGGTCTAATGTTCTTGTGTATATCCGGTTGCAGATAAGTTCACAAATGAGGTGGTGGAGACAGTCACCCCGAAATTCAAGAACTCGGAGCCATCATCTAACAAGCAAGGATTTCTGTTCAGGAACTCCATAGGTATCAGTACAGATCAAATAATGCAAGATGCGAAGGCGAGTGGTGAACTAGTTGTGGTGGAACACAGAGATGTAGGAACCGAGATGACACCAATGGGGAGTTCAACCACTTCCAGATGCCACACCCCTTTCAAATCCTCCTCGCCCGCCCGCCACAACACTCCTGCCAATAGGTCAGGCCCATTGGCCCCCATTTCCAACTCCGCGAGTAGCAATAACAGCAGCAGCAACAGCACCACGATATTCGAGCTGCAGGACTGTCACTTGGCGAAGCTGCAGTTCGATCCAGTCGGGTCTATCTGGAGCACAAGGGAGGAAGAGGAGGAAGAGGTGTCCAAGAGCTTGAGACACTTCGAAACTGGAAGGAGCAGCAGTGTCTCTGATGGAAGGGCTGCAGCTGCTGCTGCATTGGCTTGGGAGGAAGAGGAGAAGAACAAATGGTGCCTCAGGTATTATACAGTCACGCTCGTCGGTTCATAACTGTTGATGTAGTTTTGTTAAATCATTCAGTTGGAAGGAGGCGTTAGAAACATCCTTTTGGTTCTTGCAGATACGAGAGTGAAGAAGCAAGGATTCAGGCGTGGGTGAACCTGCAGAGCGCAAAAGCTGAAGCTAAATCAAGGCAGTTGGAGGTATCTTGAGTCACTACAGATATATTGCCGTTCGCATATCATGTTTCAGTTGATTATTAAGTCGTCATGAGTTCCTCGCGCATAAATCAACTGATAATACGAGAAGTTATCACGATCGTGTGGCTTCTCGAACTCATACAGCATCTAGAAGCATTATGAGATCATGTCAAATACTTGGAATGATATGCAGAGAAGTTATCAAGATAAACATCATGACTTAGGAATAAGAGCTTGTCTGGGTTCCACCCATCATGTGACACAAATGTGGCTTGTGGTGTGAAAGCAAGGACTTTGGTGGAACACTGGAACAGCAAGCAATGGTTGTTATTGGGCAAAAGAATATTCACCTATGGCTGGCGGTCTTGTTTGGTAGCGTGCAGTGGCCAGGACCTCGAGCCCCTCAAGGAGTTGCTCAGTTCCTGGTCACGCCCACAAGTCCAAGCTCCCAACTTTTCTATTCCTTGCTTGACTGGTCCACCATGCCTTGTTCCTTTTGATGTTATCTAAATAAACTCAAGTTCTTTCCGGATTTGTATTAAGATTATGTCGCAGTCTTCAACGTCCAGGTCGTGTCAGATTAAACAAATCTGGTCGGTAGGTAAGGTAGGAAGAAGAGAAGGATCAGGGAAGCTTCAAGCTTGGGGATTTGATTAGAATAATGATAACCATTAACGGTATCATTAATGAAAAGCTTCGTCCTTTTTTTGTTGTTTTGCAGGTGAAGATACAGAAGATGAGAGCAAACATGGAGGAGAAGTTGATGAAGAGGATGGCAGTTGTGCGCAGGCGAGCTGAGGACTGGAGAGCTGCAGCTCTCCAACAGCATACCCAGCACATTAACTTCACGACCGAGCAGGCGCGGCGGATGATCACCACCGCCGCCACTAACACTCCGCCTGCTCGTGCTGCCATTGCTAGTAATAACAGTGGCAAATTTGTATCTTCCTATGCTGTTCCCACTTCATCTTGTGGCTGTTTCCCCTGCAATAAGCTTCCTTAAGTAATTGCTTTGATGTTCTATTTTGTCACCCTTGTTGTTATTAAGCTAACATCCAAAGAAATCAGAGATGTGTGAAGCATTAATCACCTTGAAAAACTGTCACAACACCACCATTGGCTCATGGACTCTATGCCTTAAGCTGTACATAATCAGCTAATTGACTCATGCATGACTTGGTTTGGCAATTTTGTTCGGTTTGTACTAAGAGGTAATGAAATTGGAATTATAATTTGGCTCACAGATAGAGATTTTCGTACTGGACAAATTTAGGGGTCGTTTGGAGAATGAGAGTATGAACAACAACAAAAAAAATGTAGGTTTTGTTGTAACAAAAAATAACGTTAAGTGACCGTTTCGGAAGTTGTTGAAAGTTCGATGACCATTTTTAAATTTCCATACAAAAGTGTAAGCCCAAACTATGTGTAGGGGACAGCCCATTAGTATAGCAATGTCATACATCTTAGTCAGGCCCAGGCCCAGGCCCGACCAATAGTTCTTTTCCGGCCCAACACAGACCAACGAACCGAAACGTTTCTCAGAAACTTGTCTGTCTTGGTTAACAAGTCGAGACGAAAGTAAAGGAATTTACACAGAGAACTGGAAGCTGCCTACAAAAGCCCTCACTCTCCGCCGGTGCCCGCAAAATCCAGAGTCAGTTAAAAGAGCCACCGTCGTTCTTCTCCGTCTTTCCCCATTTCCTGTCTGTAGAACAGATCGAATTCCCACCGTCGGCTAAACATGTTCCTCACCAGGTAAATTGCCGACATTTGTCGCTGCTCACCTCCTTGTTGCCGATTTTCTTTATCTAATTCCGACTTTCATGATTTCGATTTCTCAGGACCGAGTATGACCGAGGAGTGAACACGTTCTCTCCCGAAGGCCGCCTCTTTCAGGTCGAATACGCTATCGAAGCCATCAAGGTAATTACTGCTTGACCTAACCCCCTTTTTCCTTCTCCCTAACTGAATCTCATACTGTAGCGAGACATTTGTGTGCCTATCTGGCTAAAGCTTGCTTCCTGCATATTTTCCTTATTTGGGTTGTACTCAACTAGTTCTGTAGAGTTCCCGGTCATTTTATTCTGCTGAGTGACGGATCACTACCTAAGTGATGCTTATGATCCATATGATACATCGCTTTAGCGAGCTACAGACACCGTCTCCTGTTGTGGCGAACCCTCCAATCCGTTCGGCTCTTATTGGACGGTCTTGAATGCTTGAGCTTTCTGTTTAGATAAGTAGTTAATTTAGCTTACCGTTGGTTCATCTTCTTAATTTCCTGCTGAATTTTACTTCCAATGAACTGTATGCTTGTGAGGTTGAAGTGAATCTGTCTGCAAAGTCAACATGACTTTGGACTGCACCATTTTCTATGTTCCTCGCTAAAACATCTTTTCCAGAAGGATTGCGGAAAAACCCATGATTCATGTGGTTTTTTTTTTTCCAGCTTGGTTCTACTGCCATTGGGCTAAAGACAAAGGAAGGGGTTGTGCTTGCAGTTGAGAAGCGTATCACTTCACCGCTCTTGGTTGGTTTTCTCTCTCTCTATTTTCTGAATGTAGCAGGTTTGCTCATGTGCTTTTAAAGCTTGTTCTTGTGGTAAACCAATGATTGTGTAAATGGACATGCTCAATGTGATTGTATGTCTCCTGTCTAACCTTGTATAAAAGATGCCTGCTTTGTTATCGTTACTTCTTTATTCTGAATTCATTGAACCCGTTCAGAATGGTTCAACAAATTGTAGTCCATCTGGGGAAGACTCCCCTTTCGTTTCTTGATGTGTTTTTGTGTACCTTGGAATAGCTCCTCTTTGTGTCTGGAGAAATAAAATTATATATTTTCTTATGGACTGTCTCAGGAGCCCAGCAGTGTGGAGAAAGTCATGGAGATCGATGAGCATATTGGATGTGCTATGAGTGGATTAATTGCAGATGCCCGTACTCTTGTTGAGCATGCTCGTGTTGAAACTCAAGTAATACTTATGTTCCAACTATTCTTCTGTCTTTGCAAGGGGTCTGCAGCTCCTTCACTGACTGACATGTATCTTTCAGAATCATAGATTTTCATATGGTGAGCCAATGACTGTGGAGTCTACAACACAAGCCCTTTGTGATCTGGCCCTGAGATTTGGTGAAGGCGATGAAGAGTCTATGGTAATACACTTGTCATAAATCTACATGTAATTATTAGTGAAAACTGTTAATCTTCAGCTTAGTTCCCGTGTTGAGCATACACCCAGAATTATTTGTGATGACAGCCTCTTTTCTCAGATGACATTTCTTATTCATGTATCCTAATGTTGATTGGTGAGTTTTATAATAGGAACATGACTGTCTGCTTCTCTGCCCTAGTCTTATTGTCAGATCTCTACATAGGTGACCAGAAGCACTGTTAAAATGAAATGTTATTCTGCTTGATAATTGAGTGCAGTTTTTGGTCCTCGATTTGTTTACTTATGTAACAATTTTATCCAACTTGCTATTGATCAGTTTTTGCGCCTCTTTGCAGTCTCGCCCCTTCGGAGTATCGCTTCTCATTGCTGGTCATGATGAAAATGGTCCGAGCTTGTAAGTTCCCATCTGTGCTTCATCTTTCTGGATTTTCATGTCTTTTGGGCTTTGCCTTAACCAGATAATTTTCTTGTGTAGGTACTACACAGATCCATCCGGCACATTTTGGCAATGCAATGCAAAGGCTATTGGGTCAGGTTCTGAAGGTGCAGATAGCTCTCTACAGGAACAATATAACAAGGTACTGTTGCTTCATTTCAATGCTTGCAGTCTTCTCCAATTTTTGTCCGCCAAGGTCACTGTTTCGTTTTCATTTTTCCTTTCGGTTTCTAAGTCTTGTAAGATTGGATGGCAAATATCACATTAGATAGGCTGTTCAAGGTCTTGATATTTTTCATAGTGACGCATAGGTAGGTGTAATGAAGAACGCTCTGTTGTACACGTTGCATTTTGTTTGTCACAAAATGTGATACACATCCATGATATAATGTGCAGGAACTCACTCTTCAGGATGCTGAAACAATAGCACTTTCCATCCTAAAGCAAGTTATGGAGGAAAAGGTAAATTTTCTTCTTCTTCTTCTTTTGGGGACCCCAACATTCCTATGCTGGCTGTATTGCTATTGGTTGTTGAGTCTAAATTTGGAATATGCTGATAATTTGTAGGTAACACCGAACAATGTGGACATTGCAAAAGTGGCTCCTACATACCATTTGTACACCCCTTCTGAGGTGGAGGCCGTCATCAGTCGCCTATGATGAGACACTATGACTACATAGACGTTATATGTACCGCTAGTTTTCTTCTTCCCTCGAATGTTTGTCGTTTCAGCTGTGGGCATGTGGGTACGAACTATGACAATGACGTTCATGATAGCTTTTGAGCAATTTTAGTTCATGCCTACCAGACTATCTGATGTTTCTGTAGTTTGAATAGGCTCGATGGGATTAAGGGTAAATTGTGGTGCATGGCCACGGATGGGGGAATGATTGTCTTGGCAAGTTATGAACATTTGAGCCTTTTGATCGAAGAAATGGATTGTGTTATTTTGAATCATTGTCTATTGATGTGAGTGCAGTATCCTGTTTTCCTTGTGTATGATCTGGCATGGAACAAATTTTACTTAACCTGAATTGGTAATGTCATATTTTGTAGAGCTTGAATTTTGTTCAATGATTATTGAATTGAGTGGTAAATTTCACATGGCAGAGAGAACTTAACTGAGAGACTAGCTTTGTGTATGATGTATCAATCTGGGGAATATACTCAAATATTGATCTTTTGGCCGAAGAGGTGCACGACAGCACGAGTACAACCAGTGCCATTATCAGTTAAGCCGTAGGGCTGGCCGGAAAGGTCATCATTCGTGTTTCATTTTAACGGCAGATGCACAAAGAGAGCAAACTCAAAGCTACCCGTTCGTTTTCAAACCCATCATTGGCCGCAATATATAACCTCTACTTTGTCATAAACCAAAAGTTCTTCTGCAGGCAAACTAATCCTCAAGATAAACAAAATGGAACTAACTACTAACACTCTCGGAGGCAATAGTATCTATTGATCAATCAAACCCTCCAAGTGAAGGCAAGTGCCACTTATTTAGTCTCTCAACTCTGAAAAAACTTGCAGCAGAAAAATGAAACGAGTACAATCTTTATTATTAGCTACTTCCAACTGAAGCCCTGATGATAGTACAACAACGCTCTTTCTAATCACGGTACTCATCCATGAAGCTCTTGTGGAAGTCTGTCAGCCGTGAGACAATGGCCGGAATCTTGTCCTCCTGCGGCAAAATGGTACACCTAAAGTGCCACGTTCCAGGAACCTACAAACCAAGGAAGAAAAGACTCAGTGACAGGTGTAACTGTTATTCGCCAGAAATTATGATCGCAAAAACATGATATCATGGTTAATGACTGCTTTCTCATCGAAGGACCTGGCCACAATGACTACCAACAACTAGAAAACCAATTCATCATCAGAACAGAGCAAAGTGATCAATAAATATACCCTCAAATCCTATCCAGTGATCAAGCATCTACGCTAAAGAAATCCAACGTCCAACAGTAAAATCCTTAACTAGGACTAGATTCTTGACAATATAGGAGGGCATTATTACAAGTCAGCATACTGCTATTGTTTTATATATAACTAGGACTAGGGTAGTATGGATTGGCAAACTATTGGCACAAATAGATATAGCACTACCATGACTTTTCCCACACGTACAATCTTATTTTTTCTGCTATGACAACATTTTAAAACAAGTTCTTACCTGGCCAAAGCCGGAACCAGGGACCACAACCACTCCAGTAGCATTTAGGAGATGACGGCAATAAAATAGATCAGGGGCAGTCTTTGCAGCTTCTGCAGCTTTGATTGCCTTTTCAGGCAGCCTGATCCGGGGGAAAAGATACATTGCTCCCTCTGCTTTGTTGCATGTTATGCCCTCTAAACTGTTGAATGCATCTTCCAGTGTCTGCCAATAGTTTAAGGATACAGTGATATATTAATCAAGGAAACAACAACTCAGGGAAATATGACACTCGGAACGGTTATGGTAACTTTTGACTGCTTGATCATTAGCAAGCACCAACTTATGCAAAAAGCGCAACTATAGGCAAGGAATACAAAAACAGTCATAGGAGTTGCCTGGATATCAGAGCTTAAAAGTTTAGGATTTGATCAACTGACCTTGGCACGCCTCGCCAGAGATTCAAGAATCCCGTCTTTCTCGGCAGAATATGATTCATAAGATTCATCTCCAACCTGAAAGCATTCCACTTGCATTATGAGAGGTAAAAAGCAAAAGACGCTAGTCTTCTTATTATACGCAATAGATTAATGATCCCATACTAGAGCCTTTTGTGTCTACATCCTGGCATTCAGTAAGGAATCAGTCACAAAAAGAGAGATGGAAAGGAGAGAATATGTGCCTTGGGCGGGCTCATGACAAGACTTGCAAGGATTTGGCCAGAAATATTAGAGCAGAGATTCACAGACGCCACTTTGTATATCTGCTCTCTGACTTCAGGACTAAAACCTGTGATCTCCATGTAACCTCCTCTCTTTCCACACTCACCATGGTACCCTGAAAACATTTTAAAAAAATTATGTATATCTAATTACTGCCCCAATTCGGAACTCTAGATTATCTCTAATCCAGCATAAACATCAAGCAGTTTACCTTTCGAAACAGACTGGAAAGATACTAGACACAAATCATTATCACCATAGCCCATAGATCGGGCAACCTTCTTAAACGAGTGAAATTTCTTCTCAGGAACATAGATATTTTCCTGATAAACCTGTACAAAACAGTACGTCTAATATAAAAAGATGAACCACCTCAAGAACGTAACCCCAGAGCACAAAACTAGTTGATAGTAACCTCATCTGCTAAAAGAACAAGACCCTCTTTCTTGCAGAACTCCACAATATCCCGCTGGTTTTCCTCTGCAAGAACCTGCAAGCATAAGAGCCAAGACCACGTTACCAAAATGCCTCCCAAGTGGTACCAGCATCAAGGAAGTACTTCCAAATTAAGATATATCTCCTCAGAAGTATAAATGTGGCAACTCCCCACCTGTCCAGTTGGGTTGCCTGGATTTATAACAACCAGAGCCCTAACACTGATCCCCTTTGACCTAGCCTCCTCTAATTGCTTCTTGAGTTCAGAAACTTCCAAGCCCCAGCCAGTTTCTTCGTCAAGATAGTAAGGAATCTGAATTGAACCATACTTACACATATGATTATCAAAAGAAGATAAAACAAAAATACAAATCCAAATTATCCAGTGGCAAACCACTAAAGTGAATGGCATAAGAGAGAGATTTCTTACCAGACTACCACCATGGAGAGCAATGGATGCAGAGTACAAAGGGTACTGAGGTATGGGACACAGAATTCCATCTTTTTCGGAGCTTATCAGTAATTGCATCATCATGTGTACCTAACGAAAGGGAGAAGCATTATCAGTTGCAGCATATTGGAAGCAAGATATACCGTCAGTGTATATGAAAGCTGCTTCCAATGTTTGGTAATTCAAAACAATATCACAAGACAAAAGTAGGGGGAATCATTCTTACAGCTGGACTTGCACCATCTGTGAGAAATATATCATTTGGATTAGCAGGAAAGCCATCACGAGCTTCAATACCAGCAGCAATCGTATCACGTAATCCTTTGATGCCCTGTTAAAAGCTGTATCCATCACAATGTTCTAACAAAAAACTCAACTGTAATACCATCTTCGGAGGTTGCAAATAACAATGTCATGATTATAACCTGACTATGACTATATGCACCGGTTGCTCTCCCGGGAATTTGGTCAAGAATCTGCCACGCTCGCTCTATGGAGTCAGCACTGGCATACAACAAGCAAGAAACCGGACAAGGCATTAGCAATGCAGGGAAAGTATTATGCAACAAACACAGCATCAAACTGCTGTATTTTTTGTAACTTAATCGGCTGGTAACGATGTGGGAAAATATCCAGATAGCTGAGGCATGAACGAATTCTCAACTAAATAATAAAACAGGGTTCGATATTACTGAACAAAGCTAAGTGCTATCAGCTGGCACTGGGCAGCACATAAACCAACTGCATTGCCTTCTGGCTTCAATCTCTGAAATACTGAAGCAAGGAATGACACAACAAAAAAGTGGGAACTGAGAAGTGATACCTGAACAGGCCCTGTGTTTCAGCTTTGTCCAAAATCGTAGGATGGTCACAGAGCGCAAGAACCTAAATTGGAATAGAAATAATGTAAGCAGTGGCTTTGATAGAAGGATAAACCTTTATGCAGTAAATGGGAAAGGCCAAACTAACCTCTCGGAAGAAAGTTATGGGGAGCTGACCAAGAGACTGAGGGTTTCCGATGTTGCAATAGAGAATCTGCGTACAAGGGCATTGTAATTTCAGAGAACACATGAATGGGAAAGAAAGTAGTTCAGCTCGAATTCAAGTAGCACTTAAGATTAAACAAAAACAACAGCATTTTGTTGACCAATGAATCCAGCAGTTACTACCACAGAAGAGCCTAACTAATTGTTCATAGTTAAAGGAAGAGAATAGTTCCTACCAAAAAAAAAAGGAAGAGAATAGTTAAGAGGGGTGATAGAGAGGAAGAAGAACCTCATCAAAAGGAAGAGAACCAGGGTTAGCCTTTAACTCTTCTTGCAGGCGCTGCACCAATGAAACGTTGAACATCAGATGGAAGGAAATTAGCACACAGGGGCAAAAGCACTGAATGAGAGAGACGGACAGAGAACCAAAGCATGGATAGTGTACCTGAGCAAGGTTGACAATCTCTCCACGAACAGCATATTCGCATTGCAAAACCTGGGAAAGTAATCAAATACTAGTCAATCAGAACTTCGGCAGTTGAATGATGGGGACAAAAACGGGATCTGCATCTCCTATTGATAGCTTAATTAGGTGTGCAGAAGAAATTGAGAGATGAGCAGCAGATGGACTTGGTCAGAAGAAACAAAGATCATGACTACCTTGGGGTTTATGGATTGGACGGTAACGGGGTTCGACATGTTGGGAGGAGGGGGAGAAGAAGCGGAGGAGGAGGAGAGGCGCCGGAGAAGGAGGAGGAGGGCGGTGGCGGAGGAGGAAGGAGAAGAACCAAGATGGTGGTGCAGAGGAGGAGGACTTGGTGAGAGGAGGGAGCGATGAGCTTGATTGAGAAGGAAGAGACTACTGCGTTTGGCACCTCCAATTACTGATCTCCGCATTTTCTGTTGTTTGTAAGCTTCCTCTCCTTTTAAATATGCGGCCGAGATTGAAAATTCAACTCTTCAGTCCCCACGCAGAGAGAGAGAGAGAGTGGCGGTGCGGCTGAACGAATGGCTGCTTTCAGCTTTGTTGCTGCCTGCCCTGGTAGAGGAGAGAGAGAGAGAGAGAGAGAGAGAGATGGAAGGGAAGGAAGGTGCCGATCTGTTTCGTGGGCCGCACGAATTTTCAGACGGAATACGGGAAACGGACGATCGCCTCTTTTCTTCCTTTTTAGAGGGTTCACCCGGACCCAAACGAAACGCCCCGCTGGGCCAGGCCCTCGCCCCTCGACCAGCCAATCCAACTCAATCCTCAGAATTCAGAGAATTCAGATTGCACCGGAACAAACTTACGTTAAGATCAGATCATATCGAACTAGGGGTGGCAATGGGGCAGATTTGGGGAGGGTTTGCTTAAACCATCCCCATCCCCGCTTTCAAATATCCAAACCCATACCCGCCCCATACCCATGCGGGGAAGATTTTGCAAACCCATCCCCATACCCGTGGGTTTCGGGTACCCATGGGTAATACCCGCCCCATACATCCAACATTACAATACATAAAATTTTACATGTAAATTTTCAATTATAATATTAAAGGCACCTATTATATCATGAAGTCGGGAAAGTGACAATAATTCTTAATGTGGTTTAAAGCATTTTATCCTAAAATTTCCCTTAATCCATAAAATAGAGTACTACAATGTAATCCAAATCATTATTTATCTGACTCTAATACATATACTAAGCAATAATTAACTAATATAATCTTGCTAACACGAGGAAAAAGTGAAAGAGTGAAGAGAGAGTTGAGGAAAATGAATTAGGTTTTGATTTGGGTGACCACTCAATTGCATTTCTACTAATTATTTTTTTATTTACCCTCACTATCATTGATAGATTACTATTTCATCCATGTATTTTTTATATGTAAACAAATATTCTGGTGGGGCGGGTATAGGTATGGGTATGGGGCGGGGGAGGCTAAAACCATACCCGCCCCATACCCATCAAACATTTTGCGGGTTTTACCCATACCCGCCCCATACCCAGTCAAAGAGGGGATTCCCCGCGTTGACAAGGTCGGGGGCGGTCGGATACCCGTGGGCATGGGTTTGATTGCCATCCCTATATCGAACTGCATATAATGTCATCCGCTTTTTGATACTTTATAGATTTGAAGAAAAATTAATTAAAGTGAAATTTGGAGCGCTTCAAAACGAATTGAATGCAATGTTAATCTGATTCTTAGTGCTAAGATGTCTTTCACTATTGAACCCCGATTCTCGTTAGTTTGGTGTGATGTGATGCACTCAACTGCTAGAAGCCGACTACAGTGTGTAACTAATTTGAGGTGTGGGGTTGGTGCCGTTGTGATTTAACCACATTACATTGTCAAAATACAAATTCATAATTCATTAAAGAATTCTAATAAGTTTGAAATATTTTGATATTTGACAAAATAAAAGAAAGGTCAAGACATTTTAAGGAGGACATTTGAGTGAACCATATGTAACATAGAAAGGAAATATTGGGGTTGTTTGACTGTGGAAATTTGGAAATAAAAGAAACATTGGGACCAAAATTTTAATTCACACAAGTGTGGAATTCTTGATTCATTTTCATACAATTTTTGGGCTGCTAAACAAGAAGTTTTTCCCAATTCCTGCATATCGTGAAATTTTGCACCAATTCCCGCATCAAATTTTCGTATTCAAACGACCTCCAAATAAAAGATAGATACAAAAAAAATATATAGCAGCAGAATCGAAAGATACAAGCCAAACTCGGACAATGAAAGTCTTGGATGAGGATAAAATAGAAAAACATGTAATTAGAACAACATAGTCACAATTCAACACAATCTGTATTCATCAACATGTAAATAATTCAACATTTTGTGTAAAGTAGAAATCTTTCGCCAATGATTCAACAACGTAACAAATAAATCACTAAAGTACTAACCATTGAATTGGAGAAATCCCCAAAAGTTGATAAGCATACTTACTAAGAGCATCTCCATTGTAATTGCATTTAAAATTGCATTATAACATGGTATTCATTTGCAATTGCATTGGCGTAGATGACAATGGCATCTTTGCAAGCTTGCATATAATGCAATTATGAAATGCAGGCCACATCATCTTTTTTATTATTAAATTATTCATTAATTTTATTATTTGAGTGTTTATATTTTAATAAATTAAATTAAAAAAATTAGTTGCAATTGCAAGTTAATTACATTGATGTGATGCAATGCAAGTAAGATGAGTTGGATTGCAAAAAAAAAAATGAAGTAAAAAAAAATACAATTACAAATGCAATTGCACTAATAGAGATGCTCTAATGTTAACTATTAACCGCTAAAATTATTTTAAAAATGATGGATAGGTGTGGTTATTGTGATTTAATCATTATGATTAGTGGTTAAACTCACAATTATGCTAACCACAAAATGTAGTTGTGGTTAACGAAACAGTGTGTGGTTTTGTATGGTTTGCGGTTAAACCACAAACCCACCTCTAACTGCAATACAACTATTCTATCCTGCCGTCCTGCGGCGCCAACAGTTTCAGTAACCACGATGCTAAACGTGATTAACTGCGGCTAATCTTTGTCAGCTTCACATTTTGTATGCATCATTCAGGGATTATTAGTTTACTGTTTTAACTGCTGAATGAAGAAAAGCTAAAACAGAGTGGTACGGATCTGAGAACCTTTTCATTATGAAGACGGACCACCCCGTTCAATTCAAACACAACCGCAGCAATCACATTTCCGTTTACTTTTCTCCAAGAACCATGCTCCCAAAATCCCAATTCCATATTTCTACCTGTTCATTAATGGAGCAACATGTGAAGCCAAACACAAGAAATGGAAAAACCAGCCAGTAAAGATTTCCCTTCATTCATGTCTATGAACAAAAGACGCACTGCTCCCACGTATATAAACAAACAACTGTTACAACTTACAATCCAATCTGGAAAACCCTCTCACGTATAGTTAGGCGTTGGTGCTCGAATCAAACTACAATGTAAGAAAGCTGATGACACAAAGGAAAACGTAACTGAGATTACTGGTCTCTCTGATAATATTACTGCTTCGCCCACTGCCTGCGTAGAAAACTCTATATATTACATCCATCCATATATAATCACAACGCGGAATCGAACGCCACTGATGTAGCCGGCAGCCACGCACCGCCCTGGATAAACGATCCCACCGTGAACCTTGCTGCTTCGTCCTTGGTCAACGCCGGCTTGTACCCGGCCCACTTCACCCTCCCGGCGACGCTGGACCCCGGCCCGGTGTTCTGATACTCCGCATAGAAAATGGTGTTGGGCGGCTCCACGCCAGAGACCCACGGCAGCCAGCCCAACTGGTTAAGGAAGCCTCCGATGGACGACTGCATGATGACGGTGGTGGAGAAGTCCTTCCAGGGTCGGCCCAGATACGTACGGGCCGTGAGATTGGCGCTCAGCGGCGTGAAGTCGCATTTCTGAATCGAGATCCCCGTGTTCTGGTTGGGATCCTTCTTCCCCTGCGCTGTGATGGTGTTGAACTGGTTGGACATTGGCTGCCTCGGCTGGATCTTGCAGCCCTGGAACACCACAGCGGCGTTGCCGAAGATGAAGTCGATGGTGCCCGTGATGTCGCAGTCGCGGTAGAACTGGCGGTTGGAGTGCGGGTAGAGTGTGTCCTGGTACGCGTCGAACGAGCACCGGTAGTAGACCGACATGTCGGCTCCTGATCGGAAGGCTACGGCTTGGTGCTTCTCGGGACCTGCCGTGTTGATGAACTTCATGTCTCTGGCCATGAAATTCTTCCCTTGGACGGCTGCAGTACAGGACAGTCAAACAAAGACAGTAAGTTGAGGACATCGGTAAAAAATTAGATAGATTACGATGTGATTAAAACTCCTAAATCTCGATTGACTCTTAAATGGAATATTCTAATAATCCCATTTCCATGTGCCCTTTCAGGAGTAGATGGAGGCATCCATGTGAGTTCTGAATCCAAGCCGATCATTCCATGTGCGGTTAGCTTTCATAGTCAGTGAATGTGAAATCATATACCCTCATGTCACTGCTTAGAACATGGCGACATGCTCTGTTCTCTATTCTCTTTCATCTCCATTTTCTACCCTTTTCCATGGATGGCATCACCAAAGATTCTTTCAACTCTCTTATACTAATTAACCATTTCACATGGGTGGCGAAGAAGGCCATTGACCAAGCATTCTGCCGCCTAAAGATCCTTTCTTTCCCTATCTTCCCCATTTCCACCTTCAGTTTGATCTCTCTGCCTTAACAACTAAATCAAGGATTCTAAATAAAGAAACGCCTACCAACTGGCCAATTTGATCGATTCAAGCCTATAACTCAATGCAGAATGACAACCGGGAATGAAATGACGAATTAATTAATCACCTTTTATACGAATCTAACTTGAATTGGAGCTAAATTAAGTGGCGGGTAGGCTTACCGAAAGTGGCAGTATCGAAGGTAGGAGTACCATCCACGAAATTGAGGCTGCCGGAGACGATGGTCTTGTCCTTGCCGTCGCCGTAAACTAGAACATTCCACCGGTGCTTGTCCAAGATCACATTCTCCTTGTAGGTACCTTGTTTAATGTAGATAATGTACTTCCACAGACTCTTCTTCGGTATCAGTTCCACCGCCTTTGCAATCGTCGTGAAATTCCCGCTCCCATCCTGCGCCACCGTCACATTCGGCCGCAAACCTCCCGCTCCGCCGACCTGCTGCAGCAGCCTCCTGTCCCCGTCGCTCACCCACCGCGGGAATCCCGAATCCGATTTGGCCTCGGCCGTCATCAGCCTCCGCCGCTTGTGGATCGGGATGTTGAAATCTGAGAGCAACCCTAGGACTTTGGTCACAATTGCCAAGCTGTTGCTCGCCAATTCCGTCGAATTCTCCATCGCCGAGTTCAATTGCTCGAGGATCGCCCCCGAACCCGGGTGCTCCGTCTCGTTCAGCTGCACCGCGTCCAGGCAAGTGTCCAGATCTGTAACCGCCGCGCTCAGCCACGTCTTCAAGTCGTCGACGCGCTCCCGCGACAGCACCTGCTGCTGCTTCCCCTCCCCCGCGGGCTGGGCAGTAATCGAAGCAATCGAATCGTTGAGGCGGTCGACGCTGTCCTCGAACACGGCGGCGCAGACGTTGATGGCCTGGCGGAGCATGGTGTCGTTGGCGATGTCGGAAGGGAGCTGGATCGCGGCGGGGAAGTCCTTGAGCTTGGAGAGCTCGGCCATTGCGGCGCGGAGGGAGAGGCGGAAGAGGACCTCCGGGTCGGAGGAGTTGGACCCGCCCTCGAGCGCCGTGATGCTGGAGTAGCAGGAGGAAGGGTACTGCGTGACGCTGCAGACCGCCTTGAGCGACGCGGCGGGGGATTCCGTCGGCGGGAGCTTGTCGGCGTCGGAGCCGCCGCCGCCGGACTTGCGGTTGCGGATGACGACCCCCGCGACGGCGCCGATGATGATCCCGACGAGGAGGATCGAGGAGATTCCCACGATGATGAGGCGGCGGCGCGTCTTCTGTCGGAAGGCCCGCTCCTCTGCTTCGTCCACCTTGCCGTAACCCTTGAATGACTTCATCGTATCCATATTGTTTCCCTTTTGGGTTAGGTTTTGCCGAATGGAAGGAAATTGAAATGGGCGAATGGGGGGAAACTGTTTGTCTGTTTAGTGCTTCCTCTTCTGGTTTACTTTATAAGGAAGGGCGGCACTGAAAGAGGCAATACGCTGCTGGCTGAACGCGCAAGCGCAACTCTTTGCTGGTTGTTGTTTTGCTGTGAAGGGTTTCTGGTGATGTGTTGCACAGAGGTGAAGTGATGAGAGATTAAATTTATGGTTTAATGGTTGATGGTAACGTGAAGCTGACAAATCGAATACGAGCCGATCAATAAAACATTTGTACATCAACGTCATAATTAGCGGAGACAGGAACGGGGAGAGCAGGACAGGACATGGGTGGCTTTGCTGGGTAATGAATGGGTCATATGGCCTAATGGATGGATGGATGGATTCATTTGCCAGATTGCTTAACTGAATCGGCAAATGGACAAACCGCGTCTTTGCGAATGGAATACATGGCAGCATTTGGGTTTAGGGTGGTCAACTTCGTCCCATCAGCTGGCTGTTTCCTGCTATTTTACTCCCCAAACCAATGATATTGCCGTTGACCCAGTTGGTTATTAGAGGTTTCAGTAGTTCCCGGCATGATGAAAATGTGGTGGGGTAAGACTACGATAACTTGTGGTAAGTTTCAAGTAATGTTGTTTAGATAGGTTTCTCCTTGATTACAAGGCTATCAGGTCGATCAAAAGGTTTTATTGTATAGTGGATTTAGTTGATCATTTATTTTTATTTTCTGTGAAATTATTAGTTTGGGAACATTTTATAAGGTCTTGTAATGGGTGACTGTGAACAAAACTATCAAGATTATAGATGCGGCATGAACGTTATAACGATAATGGTGAAGAAGTATAAAGACAAAATCAAGCCCTAGAGTTATTAAAACCTAATATCATACAAAAATAATAATACATTGTTCATAAAAAAAATTACATTCATGGCAAACCTAAAACATGACGCTAAAAGAAACGCATCAACCGACCAGGGCCTAAGTTCTGGTCCTTAAGGCCTCTTTTTTAAGGAAGAACTTATATCCTTGTGATTGGCTAATTCAAGATAAGGTAGTTAGTAGGAGTTATTAGTTAAAAAGAGGTTAGGGGTATTAAGGAGAATACAATTAAATTAAAACATGTCTATCTTTTTCAAAAATCCTAAGCCGACGGTATGTAGGTCTTGTTCGGGTCTGTTATTATTCCTCCGTCGTTCCAACTTCTCCGTCGTCCCAACTTCTCCGTCAAAGCACGAGTCCGTCGTCCCTTCTCCGTCCCTTCTGAGAAGCGAGTTCATCAGCCGTTGTTCCCGTTGTCCCTAAAGCACAAGCCGTCGTCCCTTCTCCGTCCCTTCTCCCTCCCGCTCCGGTCGTTGTGACTTTAATCTTCCAGACGCAATCATCTTGAAGACGCTCGTCCGGTCGAGTTCTCCGTCGTCGCTGTTGGAGAACGTTCGAGTTCGCCCTATCTCTCTCGTCCGGGCGAGTTCGCCCTATCTCTCTCGTCCGGCGGCTCCAGTCGTGACTTGAGAGGTGAAGACGCAAGTTCGGTCGAGTTCCCCGACCGACTGTTCGAGTTTTTCCTCTCTCTCGTTTCAACTCTCAGTCTCTCTTCGGCGGCCGCGTGATAAGGTTTTTTTTTGTCTCCGATTTTTTTGGCCGCTTTTTTGAGGGTTTTTGGCGTTGCATGTTGCATGGGATTAGGGTTTTGGCGATGCATGAGATTAGGGTTTTGTCGTTGCATGGGAGGAGTAGGGGTTGTACAATGGTAGATCCATTTTTAATTTATTTGGTTTCTGTTATTAATAATTTCGTGGACGTTTACAGATTTTTTTCTGTCCATTGTCACTCGTTATCAACCTTTTGGCATCTATTATTAATCATTCCGTGGGCATTTGGAAACCGTGTTGTGTCTCTATTATTAATTAATACGTGCTCGTTTTCAACTTTTTTGTTCTCTATTATTAATCAAATTGTCATGCAAGTCAATTATTTGTGACCTGATCTAACCAATCTGTGCACGTCATTTTTCCGTCTCCAATATTCATTTCGAATTTGGGAAATATTTTTCGTCGCGTCGATGCATGGGATTAGTCGGTGCACAATAGTATTTATTTTTAATTTTTTTGTGTCCATTGTTAATCAATTTGACATCACAAGGTACTTCATTCAGATCTGCAAAGTTGAAAAATTATCAAAACTATTACCTTTACAAATTAACAAAACTATTACCTTTAACTACCCGCTTCATTATTAACCTTCCCTTATCCGATTATTAACCTAAACACTTTAACTTTCAAACAATTAACGACGAATTATTAATTATTCCTCTCGGATTAATTATTAACAACCATCAACATCATTACTAATCTTCCCTTCTTGTATTATTAACCTAAATCGACAATGCAATTTTCATACAAAGTTTACTATTAACCTAAACCATTTAATTATCAACAACTACCACATGAATTATTAATCATCCCTCTCGGAGTAAAGACTTTTACTTATAAACACATTGAATTATTAACCATGTCCCTTTTAATTAATAACTTAAAACAACTAACAATTTACGTGGAGATGGATTATTAATATAAACACTTCAGTTAATAACAACAAACACAAGTATTATTAATAACAAAACACAAGTATTATTAATGAAATGGTTTTAGCAGTTAATAATCGTGCATGAAGATATTGATAATTGGTTTAAAAATATTAATTACCTGACACTCGTTTAAAGTTAATTATTAATCATCCCTCTCCGACTTAAGACTTGAACTTATAAACACATTGAATTATGAACCATGTCCCTTTTAATTAATAATTTAGACCAACTAACAATTTACGTGCAGGGTGGATTATTAATATAAACACTTCAATTAGTAACAACAAACACAAGTATTGTTAATCCAAAAAACACATGTATTATTAAAGAAATGATTTTAGCAGTTAATAGTCGTGTATGAAGATATTGATAATAGTTTAACAAATATTAATTACCTGATTACATGCAAAGTTAATTACTAATTTAAACAACTGAAATATTAACGAATTACGAGGGCATTATTAATTATCCCCCACGAAGTTATTAGCTTAAATTGTTAACAACTATGTCTTGTTTTATTAAAAAACGCTACCAAATATATGTTATCAAAACAACGTCCAAAAAACTTACCAAACATAAAGGGCAATGGTCTTGGCGATTCCATGGAAAATCTTAGTCAACGAACGAGGCGAACGATTGACTAGAAGGAGAGAAGACGATAGCCGAGACGTATATTGCCAAAGATGCGAGACGATGAAGAAGAAGGAGTAGACGAGAGGACGCCGGGAAGCAAGCGAACGGCCGGCAGTCTCCAGAACGCGGCGAACGGCCGGCAGACGAGGAGGAGAACGAGACGACGGCCGCAAAGCAAACGGGAAACGAGACGAATGGGTTTAGGGTTGGGATGAGAGTGGTTTCTCCCATTCGTTCGTCAATTAATATTATCATTTGATTATTTTCGATATTCCAATCTTACCCTTTAACGTATTAGGTAGGTAGTTAACCAATCATTACTAATCATTACTAATCACTACCTCTCTCCTTCTCCTATTGGCTGGAAGGGGTTTAAGATTTTCCTTAAAAAAAAGGCCTTAAGGACCTGATCCAACCCGACCAACCAGGTTATTTTACCATTGAACTAGTTTGAAGAGATACACAACTCACAGATTTCAGTGAAATATACACAAAATAGATTAAAAGTAAAATAGGAACGAATGGGTTGTGCAAATGTTAACCATCCATTACACGCTAAAAAACTTTTACACGATTCTTAACATTTTAAAAACAATTTTAGGTTTAAGGCTAAATTTAAAAGTTTTGGGTATTAGGGTTCATGATTTTCAAATTAAGTGATTATCGTTGAGTTTTGGGTCAAGGGGTTTAACACAGTGTCCATGAAACCGTACCGTACCGGCGGTTCAACCACGAAATACCAGTATCGGAGGCTAAACCGATAGGCGGTATTTACTGGCATAACGGTTGAACTACGGTTTTACCATAAAATACCATGCCGCTGACTTTCCCGATACGGTTTCCGGTACGGTTTCATGGACCATGATTTAACATGCACCTTGCTCTACATAAACTCAAGAAAATGAAGACAAAAAACAGTCTTCTCAGGACCTCTGTTCTGCCAAGCCAATGGCCCAATTTGGCTCCATATGGCAGATCCTCATCCCCCCCTCTCTCTCTCTTTAATAAGTAGCCCGTAACATTAAATTGTGATGGGCTTAAAAGCCCAGAATATCAGTAGATAATAATTCCCAGACATGGAAAGGTGGGCTCTCAACCAAAGCCGATAACTCATAACTGGCCAAATGGGCAAGCCTATAAGCTACAAAATTAGCATCCCCTCGCCCTCGTGTAGAGATGTGTGCAATGGTCAAACTCACCAAAAACTGCAGTTTCATAGTGATAGATATTTTAGAATTAAGTATCGGCTCAACATTATATTCGATTACGAACAAAGCATTGGTCTAGTAATAATATCATTGACCTTAAATCTGGAGGTTACAAGTTTGAATCCCTTAAATAGAACTAAACAACAAAAAAGTAAACTTTATTATATAACTCTTATCCCAAAAAAACCCATTACATTCAATTTGATTTTATTCGATTCAAACCTTGGCACAACCCTACCTTGAGGCATGTACAATCATATTGACAGAACTAAGAGGAGCACTAGAAGAGCTTCAACATGTGATGAAGATTCAAGCAAAGTTCATAAAGGGGTCGGCCGATGAAGATTCAACATGTGATGACTTTGAATAACTCATCTAATTCCCCTCCAAACTTCAAAAGTGAATGTGTAGTGAATTTGAACAAGTGAGAAAAAGGTTTCTTCACTATTATCACACAATGAGCAACGGCTTGCAAGACACCATCTTTTTTTCCCTCTCTCTCTATAAGTTGTCATGTTTGAGTACCTTTTTGATGTCATAGTAACCACATAAATCCACAAACTTTCAATGGCATATCCTACCACCAAACAGCTGCATCAGGAAAGTTCTGAACACTAGGTTTCAACAAACCATATACGGCAAGATTGTCGATGTATTATTTGTCAAGAACTAGTTGATTCCAGTAACTGGAACTGATAAAAAGAGGTTCAATCATGGATCATATATCGTTTACTAACATTATTAACGAAATCCGTTGGAAGCGTGGAGCACGACACAATCACTCACATAATTAAAGAGGCGAAGAGTAGTATATATATATCACCAAAAAGCATACATAAAACATATATGAAGTACTTCGCAAATCGCATGCACAACTACTCATTATTATCAGTCACATATAATAACGTGTATAATAACAAACAAATATTGAATTTAACACGTGTATATATAGCCTATAAAATCACAATTCACAACCCGAGAGAGAACGGAAATGTGGTCGGACGCAGCCAGGATCCGCCAGCAATGAAATTATCCGCCGTAAACCCGACCACCTCACTCTCATCACCAATCACCTTATACCCTTCCCAATCAACCCTCGCCGTCGTATTCGCCCCGGGCCCACTGTTCTCGAACTCCGCGTAGTACAGCGTGGCCAGCGCGAAATCCGCATCCCACACGTGCCACCCGGCGGAGTGCACCACGTCGCTGATCTCCGACTGCATGATCACCGTCCTCGAGTACTCCTTCCACGGCCTCCCCAGATACGTCGGGTACGACATGTTCCCGGCCGTCTGCAGGAGGAGGTCCGACGTGGCGCCGATCCTCGACTTCTGGATCACGATCCCGGTGTTCTGGTTGGGATCCTTCCGCCCCTGTGCGGTGATCATGTTCTTCTGCCCGGGGCCGGGGAGGCGGGCGTGGATGTCGCAGTCCTGGAGGACGGCGGCGGCGTTGCCGAAGATGAAGTCGACGGTCCCCGCGACGAGGCAGTTGATGAAGAACTGGCGGTTGGAGTGGACGTAGAGTGTGTCCTGGTAGGCCAGGATGTCGCACCGGTAGAATGCTGACAGGTCGGAGCCGACTCGGAGGGCCACGGCCTGGTGCTTGGCGTGTCCGGCGGTGTTCTCGAAGGTTATGTCGCGCGCCAGGAATCCTTCCCCGACGACAGCTGCGCGCAGTAGTATATACGTTTTAGTTAGATATATGGTGTGGAGAAAGTCAACGAGAGGGAAGACCTTTCGAGTTTGAACGGAGAAACGTGGGGGGAGAGAGAGGGAAAGGGTAAAAAGGTCATAAGCGTGATTGATGGGAAGGAATAACACAATTAGTGGTGATATGTAATTATGTATGGTTTAGTTTAAGCGAGACAGCTAGCTAGCATGCATGTGTTTTTTAAACAATAACACATGCATTATAACATATATCAATATGTAATGCATGCAAGTGGGGAAAGTTGAAAGTAAGTAATGATAGTTAGCAACATTTATTCCTGTCTAGTACTTGACGATATCAACTATCAAGTTGTGCTATATGTGAAATCGTGATGATCGATGTATTTAAAATTAAAGGAGTCAGAGGATAAAGGAAAATGGTCAAAATCTCTGCTCAAAGGAAAAGAGAAGATTATGATCATCATCGTGCATTCAAAAGGGAGATATAGGAGAAATGAAAAAGGTCAAAATCTCCACTCAAGGAAACTGAAAAACTCAAAATGTAACCATAAAACAAATTGGGTCACATGTCTTAGCGGGGCTATGAGAAAACACACATCATAATTTCCTCACAAATATACTTGTATATAACATAAATATGTTTTGAATACCAACATTGATCATAAAATAGTTGTAAGATGGGTTTGACCGAACATCTATGATCTGCATAATCCAAATTATGGACCCAACCTAAAAAAGAAGCGGCGGGTTCAAGAAAAGAAAACTTCGAGCCAACCTTAAATCTTATTGTGAAAGGTAAATATAAGTGGATTGGATTGGGTTGGACTGACTGTTCGAATGGGTGGATGATTTTGTTGACGCCTAGAAGATCATATGCATATGCTAATTCGCAGCTAGCTAGCCAATGGGGACAACGAGAAAAGAACAGTGAATGGAGCACGCTAGCTCGTTAACTAGATCTAGAAAGGGTCGCCACTGAATCAGTCACATGCTGATAGGAAAAGAAGGGAAAGTGGTTGTTGTGCTACAAGTCTAGAAACCATGTCAGAGTGATTTCACCACAACCACATCCAGGCTGGCCTTTTGGCTTTGGGACGACGACAAAGTTAAACCCACCACTTCCACTGGACAGGACAAGGACCCGGCCTTCAGCTAGCAACCGCGGGGGTTGCAGATTCTCATCACTCATCCAATCGTCTCTTTTTGAGATGCAACTTGTGCAATGCACATGCATACAATCTTTGTTAGTACCAACACCATCGTACACATTCAAATTTCAAACCCGTGGTGAAAAGACAGTTTTCTTTTACTTTATAATTTTTTTTACTGTTTTTGGAACTGATGAAAAGTGAGACAATAAGTCAGAAACGAGTCCGAACTCTGAACATGCATGTCTGCTAAACTAAGCTGCTTAATTAACTAACCACATTGTAAAATACGCATTATCGGTCACATTACGACACATGGAATTATTATTATACTTAATTAATAATTATCCTACTAAACCGCTGCTGCGACAGATAGTCCCGGTTGTTCTTCCGTGATTTCCTGCTATGAATCAGCACGAGCTGTCCTGGACCAGGTGGACGGACCGGGACCCCAATCAAACTTATTAATAATCAACTTATTAATTAATTTTACGCGCCGGGTGGGCCCCCACCCATGTTGGTATAAGAAAAAGCCCATCCCCCGCCCACGTCATCTCATTATTGACCCAACCGCCCAGCCCAAAAGGATTTTCACCAACTCTACCTAGCTACCTCTATCAACGGGAAGAGATTTCATTTTGTCAAAAAAAAAAAAAAAAAAAAGGGAAGAGATTTCATTTCATGGCACTTTTTCCAATAATAATGCCGGCCGGTCCAGCTAGGAAGAAAAGAAAGAGAGTAATTGTATTGTACGTACCGACAGTAGCCGATTTGAAAGTGGTGAAGCCGTCGGCGACGCTCCTGTTGCCGGTGATAATGGTGGTGGCTCTGCCGTCCCCGAGGAACATAATGTTGGTCTTCCCCTTCACAACCTCCACGTTCTCCCTGTACACCCCGGCCTTTATCCTTATGATATACCTCTCGCTGCTCTTCTTCGGCGCCGCCTCCACCGCCTCCCCCACCGTCCGGTAGTCGCCGCTCCCGTCCCCGGCCACCACCACGTTCGGCGTTATCACCTGCTCACCCACCAACAATATAACCTCGAACCGTAACAATAAATGACTAAGAAACAAGAGTGTGGTCCAGCGGTTAAATTGTTATACTTTTTCGACTTTGAGGTCACGAGTTCGAATCAGGAACATTACATTAATTTACTAATAATATAATTAGTATATACCTCGGGCGACTGCAACAGCCTCCTCCTGTCCCCGGCCGTCAGCCACTCCGGCAAATGGTCCTCGTCCTCGTCCTTCACCCCGGCGGCCTTCAGGCTGTCAATGTCGGCGTCGGTCATGTTCTTGATCATCGCCAGGACGTTGCTGCACATGCGCTCCACGTGGACCTGCCCCTTGAGCAGCGCCTCCCGGACCCGCCGGTCGGCGCCGTCGTGGGAGAAGCCGTCGAGGCAGGTCTCCTGGTTGGTCATGGCGGCGCTCAGCAGCGTCTTGAGGTCGGCGGCGTGCCGGTTCAGCGACTTCTTGTAGGGGTACTGGTTCAGGTCCCGGTAAGCCGCGCGGAGCTCGTCCAGGGTCTCGTCGATCGTCTCCAGGCAGTCGTGGAGCGCCGTCTTCTCCCGCCGGCTCAGCCGGCCGGCGGCGGACCTGATCAGCTTCTCGACGGTGAAGAAGTTGCGCTGCACGGCGCGGCAGGTGATGTTGATGGAGGCCTCGATCACGTCCTTGTGGGTGGTCAGGGATTCGGCGGCGCCCGGGACGGCGGCCACGGCGGAGAAGCAGAGGTCAGGGAACCTGGTGTTGCTGCAGGCGGAGCGGAGGACGGCGTGGTGGTGGTTGTTGTGGGCGGCGTTGATTTGGGGTTGTTGTGATGATGGGAGGTGGTACTGATTGTATTCGGGGCTCGGCGAGGGAGCGGCATTGTCTACGCCGGCGGCGGCGACGGTGGCGAGTAGAAACAGTATTAGAAATACTGTGGGAATGCTCGGGCTTTGTACTGGTGTGTGTTGGTGGCTCATTTTTTTTTTCAACAATGAATGGCTGTTGGCAAACCACTCCCGTCCCCTTTGTCAGAGCAGACCAAAGAGACGCACATATATTATAGAGGAGCAACGCAGTGCTACGCAGTTCAAAATCGAACGGGAGAATTAAACAAATTAGGTTATGTAATCAGTAATCTACATAGGAAATATTATAATTTGATTTGCATGTTCTGTTTCCCACCGAAAGAAAGGGGGGGAAAAGATCAAATAACAAATTAGCTGTGGCTCACTAATTTCCTAATTAATATAATAGTTTCTTTCTATTGAACTAATTACTTAGTAGTGAAAAGTTCTCTTTGTAAACTATACTATTATTAGTCTGCGGAGTCGTTTCATAATTCGAGCGGAGTTCAGTTGATTTATTGAGGGTTTCGAGTTGATCTGACATAATGAATATTTGAAGGTAGCTTGATATATGGATTCGACAATGGTGCTGGTATCCATCTAGCAAGCAACATGTGATTTGTTTCATTCGGATGCGAGCTTAGTGTTTCAATGTAGAAGACTCCTCTCACATGAATGGGAGGTTAGCTCATATGAATTCTTCTGCTCATTTCGGCTCATCCTGTTTTTTGGCATGACCTGAGAATTGAGATCCATATAAGTAGATTTTATATGACATTTTAGGAAACCTTATTACCTCAATGTACTAATACGATGAGAAGATGGTGCTCCTAAACGATGAAAAAAGCTCTCTTTCTTCCCTAAAAAGGAATGGATATTTTTGTTATATTACTAATTTATTAATTTACAAATCTACACACTCATATAAGGGGATTCCACATGAAGAGTGGGTTAAAACATAAAATGAAGCCACAAGCGCATTCCACGGAAGGCTACAAGCGTCTTTCTACTTTTTACTTTTATAATCTCTTTTCATTTTTTATTCCATTGACGTTGAGGCATGACTCATAAGTATAATAGAATTCCTTTATTACGTTTGGATCTCTTTTTTCATTTTTGTGGTAGAATCCTTTTCTAATTGTTTCCCCATAACTAATCCTTTTTCTATTTTTAAGTTCAAGGCTATAGCATTTTACTTTGAGCACTTCTACAATGCTATATAGAATTGGTGCTTTAATGTACAACTTGAAGCTGTACCATAACATTAAATGTATAAGTTTAGGTTGTACCATAAAACAATTTGTATCATTATGTTATGGTACAACTTTACAACTTGAAGTTGTATCATCACATAAATGTACAAGTACAAGTTGTACCATAAAAGAATTTGTGCAAAAAGTATAGGTACAATCTGAAGTTGTACCATAACGTGAAAAGTACAATTTCAAGTTATACCATAAAAGCAAAAAGCTATAGCACCCATTCTATATAGCATTGTAAAATTCCTCTTTTACTTTTACTTAATAAGTAATTAAAAAGAAAAAAAATCAAGCTAATTAAAATGAATTTGCTAATACTGTTTCTTTGAAACATTCATATTTGGAGAGGAATGTGAACGGTAGTTATAAGGTAAACAAACCATATCACATATTATAACTATATTTGTCAACCTTATCGATCAACACGTCAATCAATGTTTTTCATTTGACTCCAAATAACTTTTAGTTGGTTTTTGACCATATCATCATAGATATTCCCAATAAAAAATATAAACATTTGTTTCCTTAACTCCCGCAAAAAACAAACATTTATTTCCAGCCCCATTTAGATTAACTTCAAAAGTTAAGTGATTAATTAGAGAAAAGTTTATATGTACATGTAGTATGTAATGAGAACTAAAATTGTATGAAAACTGTTTTTATGATGATTTTTTTAGGTGAGGTAAGCAAAAAATGGCGTTTCATATGCGTAATTATGTTACCATTAAGTTTTTGCCTTCGATTATATGTAGTCCATTCCGTGGTGGAAGC